CTAACTTCCTTTCCCACGTTAACCCGGATATTTTTGGTCAGATTATGCTGTTTCATTTAGTTTTCTATCATTTAGAGCAGTTTTTAGTGTTTAAGTAGTATATTACAACGGTTTGAATTACAGTCTCTATATCAAAGAAGAATTGAAAAGTGTTTCAGTCCGTATCTGTAATTTATGTGACTACAGTGTGTGACACGGATTTATGTTTTTGTGCGTGTTTAAGCCATTGGAATTTGTTTACTTTTGTATGTAAACTGTCTAAACCCTGGTCTTGTTACTATCAAACGTCGACGTTTTTTTAGATAGCATTGTTTATTTTAAGTAGAAGCGAAGTAAATGCGCAACGATTAATCTCATATAGGTCCAGTATCGATCCTGCCTTACGATAGACCAAGCAACCATTATTATTGTTATTATTATTTTTTTACCATTACAAATTGAGACTTTGGGCACCTCCTAGGTGCGCATCTTAGCCCTAATATGAGTGAAAAATGATTGTAGAAAAAATCCCAAAGATCAGGAACAGCTGGGTCCAGTTTCGAAATCGAACCGGTGGGCTTTTGATTATTTAGGTGACCAATATAACCACCGAGCTACCTAGATATACATTTATAATCGAAACAATGTTAACAAAAATATGGTAGATGCAACTGATATAGTAGCAAGATATAGTAATATTACTATATTGTATGACTTACCTGAAAGTACAAAAAAATCATCAAATAACAAATAATTTACACTTATACTGTTTCAGGTATTATAAAATGTTAAGTTTTTTTACGTATTTTTTGTACATTCAGGCAATTTAATAACACGTACGATGCTGATCAAGAAGTTGCCGTATTTAGTAACATAGTTATATAGGTAGTAGATTAGAGTTAGTAAATTATTCCTTTCTGTGTCCTCTCAACTTTGAGGAGCACGGTTAGAGAAAAAAACATTGTGTATATTGTTAGAGGTATAATTTTAAAATCCACTTTAGAATATTTTTATTGTAACACCTTTTCGTGTAGGTGTAAACGTTTCAAGTCTACTAACTAGCTTAAAAACTTCATCGTAACAAAAAGTTTGGTTCCTTGAAGTTATGCGCCCCGGACTAAGTTCCCGCGCGATCTTTCTCCTCATTGGACGTCTCTAGCATTGCGTGGCGCGGACCTCCACATCTCGGCCTCCTAGAGGCCTTGAGGCCAATCCGCCAGTGACGTCAGAGATAGTCTGGAGGCCGAGGCCAAGGAATTAGGCCCATTGTTTATCATTTCTCAGCCTCGCGCGTCTTCCGCCCCCCGCGAGGTCTCTGATAACTGATAAGGTTGACCTTCCGTGATAACGCGACACAGTGCACGAACAACTTGATTACGAAACTCTTGAATGGACAACTTAGCGGTGGTGTAAGGACGTTAAGCTGGTGAACACAGCTTGAAATCGACTAAACATAAGTTATTAAATCACCGAGGGGTTGTACAGAAAATGCGGGAAGACAGCAGTTTGCATGTAAACATAACTTGGAAGCGACACTTGATTAAATTTAACCTTTTGTGTTTATCTATGCCATCAACATTTCTTAAGTTTTTGTTAAGGTGACTGTCTGAATCCTGGAGAGAAATTAGCTACAACGAAGCGTAATCTTATGTACGTAGCTGCTCGAAATCGAGTAAACTCAAATTAGTATATTAGATATGACCCTAATTGCGTTTTGAGATTATGTTACAGATCCCTTTTTAACATCGGTTTTTATAAATTGGGTTTTTTATAAATTCAGACCAAAAAGTGCGTTTGTCTTAACGATTTCATATATTCCAACCAACCTGTAACGGTTAACCATCTTCGGGTCTGTAAATTTACACCAACCTTTAATTCTCGCTCAAAAGTATAAACTTTACACAATTTTTGACAATTTGTCGCAACATTTTCACATTATTTGGTAGGAACATTTTTCCATTGTCCGTTTAGTCCTTATTCGTTACTAGTCTAGAGCTGTGTTCTTTTCACACAACAGGAAGGGTGGGTGTGTCGAAATAGAACTAGTTTTGTAGCCGTTGTAGACTAGGGGAGTTTTCTTCTAGAACTATTATTTAGATTGCTACAGTTCTACATAAGTAATTTAAAGAACCGAAGAAAGCATCAATTTTGCCATGCAGTAACAGAGAAACTGTTGCCTTGGTCTTAATCTTAATTTCCAAAACAGAAGGTGTTGTGAAAATAGCAATTCGATTGATTTTTCTGCTACTCGCTATTAAATGCAGAGATGGAAAATATTGCAAAGCTACTTAGTCCTACTTTTTTTAAGTCACAAAATAGTTTGTTAGCTCTAGTTGCTAAGATAAACCATGCAGCAAAGCATACAGTGTCCTATTATTATGTACTAGCATTGACTAAGGAAACAAAAGTTTCTTTGTTTCCCTTGTCTGTGGTACTAGGTAGCCTACTATACCGAACCGACATTTAAAGTTTAAAATAATTTGTAAACGGTTCATCTCTGATTTTAAATATATTCATTACTATATTACATGAAACTATAAAAAACCAATGATATACAGTACAAATAAAAAAAATGTAGGTAGAGTGTGTTAAATGTTCACTTTTTCAACAAATAATTTAATTTTCGGCAACAAAAAGCAGAATGTTAAAATTCAAACAGTACAGATTTGTGCATCATAAACTAAGGTTAAATAGATCTTATATATTAAAAAAACTTTTGCAAAACTTATGACAGCTAGCCTGACCATACTACTGGACCGAATTACACGCGGGTTGTACCATAAGAAAGGTTATCGGTCCTATATGTGCACGTTTTATTTGTATTTTTATGTTAATTGGGTCAAAAATGGAAATTCAACTTTTCTTATAGAGATTTAACATGGGGCTAATTCTATATATTAATAGACAAGCATGTTTATTGAAAATTGAAAACCTTTTTTTCTCAGCTCCTGTGCATCTCAGGGAAAATCTACGTATGCTGTTAGAAAGATATTTGCCTGTAGATGTGCAGAATCCCTTTATAAATTAAAATAGGCTAAAAAATAAACACAAAAAATAAATTTTAAATTAAAAAAAACATGGGTCTTATGGGTTGCCATGTTGGTGAAGAAATAACAAAAAAATATAAACACGAAATCCAAACAAATGGAATAAATTCCAATCACACGTTTTATTTACAGCGTGGGGTAAAAATACAGAAGTTTGCACAATACATATTTTTGGTCGAGTTTTCGATCACGGGGTGAGCTCTAGTTATTAACGAACATTCAGTAAGTCTTTTTTTATGAATTCGTGTTAGTCTTTTATTCTATCGGCTAGCCTATAAGAATTCAAATTAGTAAAGCTATAAAATGTATGTGTTTTCATATAGATAATTAGGAAACAGAGGCTACACATGCGAGTGAATACATTATATTTATTATTACTATACGAGTACGACATCTCAATACTGTGTTACTCGTCTGTGTTAATTGTGATGGAATCACTTTTCTGCACTCGAAATTATAACGCTATAAATTTGACTTATTTATCAATGAAATGTGTCAGTACTGTATGTTTAAAATAAAGATATGTGGAACACAAAGTACCGGACTGATTTGCCTTCTTCTACTATATATATATATAGTGTATTCGGTTTCTTTGCCTTTTACAATAAAAAAAAACGCAATGCCGTATATGTATATAATAAAGTTAAATGTATACACCTTGTAGTCCATTGCCAGTCGGCGTATGTTTCATTATAGAAGTAAATTAATTTTCAAAATAGGTTTGCATACTACTAGTATCTCTACATGTCATGCAAATCATCCAATTAGAAAAATTCCGTGCCCACAGTTGTAGGTACTAATAATAAAGATTGTTCTGTTATTCTTCGTAATCCGTGTAAATTACAGAGAATTTGAAATTATGAATCGATTAGACATAGCCGTGAAAAAAATTATAATGGTAAATTAAATTGTACTCGATTGTGTGCGATTCTTCAAAGAAACCACATAAAAAGAGAAGGCTGTCTGCTCTTTAATTTTGTGATAAAACTCGACTAATTTTTTTTTTATTTAAATAATTCCGTGAAAAATGAAAATATGAATTTTTCACTTGATTAGATGTAGACCTTCAAGCCTCGGTTTGATGTAGAATTGATCTAAAACTAATAAGTTATATTGATGTATACAAATGTTAAACGTTAATTATTTAAGTAGGCCTACTATTAGCACCAAACTGTATACATTTATTTTTTACATCTTAATTTTATCTTTTCATTGATAGATTTACTATTCCTTTGTATCGCTACGTTGCGTCGTAACAATGAGTTTTAATTGATTGATGCCATTTAAGTGGTAAAATAATAATAAAAAGTAAACTAGTACTTTTATACCAAATATTATTTAACAGTAAATAGTAATATTTTAATAGGAAGGTGCACGTGGATGTGACGAAACTGTCCTTCCGCCTTTCAGCTTTCAGCTGTGCACAGGGTATGTATGGGGTTTCGTTTATATAATTAAACATTATGGCCTCGTTTAAAAAATTGTATGTGGTTGTAAGCACAATAATTAAAATTGTATTGGTGTATTTTATATCAACGTAAACGCGTTTACATTGTAGTAATAGCGAGCATATATTTTAATATTAATTTCTATAGAAGTACCTTGGTAAAATTGCATAACTGTTAATTTTATTGAAATTATTCTGTATCTAGAACCTTGTATTGTATGTGTCATGTCACGCCGTAAATACTAATGATCAAACATGTGTTTTGTAGATGGACGCGCATTGTTTACACAAAAAGATAAATAAAAAATTTATAATTCTGGAAGCATTGATGAAAATGTAAAAAGGCTACAAACAATAAAAAAATCACACAACGCTACAAACAAAGCTCACAAAAACATTTATTTATAACCGCGTCTACATAAAGACAGACATAACAGTGAAAACGAAAGTGAACAAAAACACCGACGCTCTCTCCAATTAGTCGGGAGACAAACAATAACAAACGCGGAAATAAGTGTGAAACTTACCAGATTGTGTGAGTATCCAAAAAATAATATCCCATAATGGTCACAAACACAGCACAGACGGTCGGTTTCGCGGCACACACAGTCACAGAGAGTCCATCGCACAATTGCACGTCACACTCGCGCTAGTCCGCGTGCGTTACACAACTCAAACTCGTTCTATTCCTTTCCCTTTCTTTGGCCCCTCTCCCCGCGCAACGCCGCGCCGCGGCCCCCACTCCCTTTCTCTAACTTTCCCCCTCTACCGACACCAACGTCTTTTTTCAAGGTCGCACACGTTTAGAGACTGCGCAACAGCGCTTACCTTTTGGCAAACAAGAATAAAACACTTTTCCCTTCCCTTTGTCACGGGAGCGGCCCTGAGACGGGTTAGCGGGCGTGGCTTGGAAGTGATAAATTACCAGATTTTGTGACTTTTTGGGTCAATGAGTGTGTAAATTGTTAGGTTTTAGTTGGGTACAGTATGTCGGAAAGTTAATGATCACTGTTTGTGTAGTTTTTCAAGAAGGCAAGAGACTATGATACCTTGATAGTACAGTACAGTGGTGAACAAGAAAATCAGTGAGACACATATACTCTCAACTTTGGTTTGATTTGTCAACTTTGGTTCAGTTAGTGAAGAAATTGTTACATGTCAGATTATCAGTTGTGGACTTGTTAAGGCTAGTGTTGTACCACGTGAAGTGATGAACCAACATTGATATGGTGAACAAGGGGAAACAGTGAAGCCATAAATTAGCAGCTTTGTTGACTTTCGGGTCAATGATTTTGTAAATTATTGTTTATAAGGTCGAAAGCTTATTGTTTTGACGCTAGTGTTGAACAAGATTGTATGAAAACATTATATTACTTGACAGTTATTATTGACAAGAGGAAACAAAACATAAATTCCTACGTTTTGAAATTTTTGGTCAATGATTGTCTAAATTGTTTGTGAGTTGGTTGACAAGTTCAAGGTTAATTTCAACCTTGATAGTTGATAAGTTGATATTAAGTGGTAAACAAAAGAAAACAGCGGAACCGCTAAAGAGAGCAATTTATATTGTATTGGCTATAGCAATATTGTATTGGCTATTGGAAAGGTGATAGTGATTGCAAAGGTGACACTTTGGTTACGGAAAACATTATCGATTGAAACATGCATCCGTGCTAACAAACGAGTTGAAAACTTACTACAAGGACACCGTATCATATCAAAGCTGTTGTGTTATTAAACCACAAAGGAAATAATATTGAGCCTTGAACTAGAAAGATTACTTTGGCAGTTCCGAAGGAAAATACATGATTGGTCTTATTTAGGACGGTAAAGTAATTATGTGTACACAAAAAACTCTAGCCTAACTTTCCCAACTGGATATGCGAATCAATGGTGCGCAGTGTTTTGGTTTAAAATTGTAATTCCTTAATAGTGTAATGATATTCTATAATATATACGGTTAAAATGAAATAACATTCCATATTTAACGTCGTTACCATTAAACCTCTTAGGTCAAATTGACGATGCTTAGGTTCTGTGTTGTTGTATTGCACTTTACCAGATCGACACATTGTTTTAAAACTATTAAGTAAGTACACTGTCCTTTGATTCATTGAAATTTTCATGACGTTTACTTTACTTACATTCTTGTCCCATTCATTACAGATATTATGATAATCAAGGCATCTCAAATAACATTCAATATATTTTTCAGGTATGAAGAACATCACCCACATCCATATCACCTATAATCACAAGTTTTGGGAATAAGTTATCACAAAGCTAAAGGCCATTTGGGATCTTGGAGATCGAAGTTCCAGCTTGCAGTAGACGTTCTCATGGCTCAGCCCATTCCATCGACTCATCAGGATATCCTGCGCGTCGATAATTGCATAAATAACAAAAACTACTAACCAGTTACTGACGGCAGATAATTACCCGCAGAATAACGATGTTAATTATTAATGCGAATGATAAATTACTACTACGTATATGTATTGACAATTGAAATCCGCGAATTTGAATGTATTATCAACTTGTGAACGCCGGAATGCCTGTTTCACTCCCCTAATAACATCAGTTAGCTGAATCTGAGAAAAAAATCCAGACCATGACAAGAGAATTGTCTGAGACGTTATCTGAAAAATGGGGCAAACCCGACAGCCTGGTTGTAAATTGGATAAGAATAAGATTGACTTTATCAATTTTAAGAGTGACGAGCATGTGTTTAAAAGAAGATAAAGGACAAATTAAGATAAAGGAAAATTAAGATGGAGCAGGCATCCAAAAACTATATTGAAAAATCAAAGATTTTAAGGAAGTATTCATTGAATTAAAACCTTGTAAAAAAATCTATGTACGCCAATGTCATTAATTAACGGTTTTTGAACGGTATTAGCCATAGTCTTTTTACTATAACGTTGACCTGGGCTTAGAAAGCATCATTAATTGATAATAATATTGGCGGTCGATATTCATTAAATAACAAAAAAATTGTTCAATACTTCACGACCCTTTCATTTACATACCGTGTTAGTTTTGATGCGTTGCCCTTGTAACTCATAGAAGCACTACAGCCATTTTAACTGACATTCTACAGAGAATTATTAATAGTCTTGCAGTATGAGGAACAACATTACTATACAATTGAAACAGTTTATTGAAATTGCAAACATGCATGTTATAAGGATACCGTATGCAACATTTTGAAATTTGCTGAAGCCTTGAAAAGGAAACTCCAAAAATATTGCTTGGTCACTGTATGTGATTCAAAGTCAATCAAGTATGTTAAAAAAATAAGGATGTCTGATAAATAATTCAACCATTGCGATTTGAATGGGATCCAGAATATTGCCATTCAGGCAGTTTTGCAATAAGATAAAAAGATAAGTAACCATTAAGGAAGAAAGGACAAAGGTTATCCCTAAACACGGTTTATTGTTTCTGAGCTGCGACAAATGCTTACAAAAGGAAACAATGATCGTAAAGGTTACTGCTGTAAAACCTTTCAGCCACGGTTGTCCTTTCGCAGGTGAGACCCGGCCTGGTGGTCAAGGTTGTTATCGTAGCAAAACAACTTGCATTTTCTACAACAGTGAAAGTTTTGCGAGTTTCAAAAGCAGTTGGGTTTGGAGAGACAAAGGCCCCAAATGGATGTGGGACGGAAGGGCAGGTAGGTCGACCCCCTGGGGAGATGGAGACCCTCCTAATAGTCTGGACTGACCAAACTCCCCGTCTTGGGTTATAGTTGTCTGCAAGTGGAGCAATGCTGATGGAGGATGTTTTAAATGTATTAGGGAATGTTATAATTGTATAGTATTTTTTCAACCAGTGCTTGGGGAGACACTTATGGCATGGGAATGGGAATACACTAGTAGCTCTCGATTTGGAAATAAATTATCGAGGTGGAACTTTGACTAGGCCCAACAAAAGCTTGATGTAAATAGTTACAATTGGATTGAGACTTGCCACATATTTCACCAGAATTTGAAACATCTTTTTGTTGGAGCAACTTCAAATTCTATTTTGCGGACCTTACACGATCAATACTATTGACAATATGATTTACTCGATAATATTTTCAAACCAGACAATCTGAGCCGTATTTCAGACTGCAACTTACTCGGTCAATAATATTGTCAATATTTTATGTCAATCCAGGACTTGTTCAGTATTAAAATAGACTCCAAGAAGAAAGGATGTCTTATTGTCTTGCCATTATTTTACATTGTGCTTTAAAAAGAAGAGTATGACGTAAAGACACTTTGCTTAAACGTGAAGAATACACACACTTCTGGTTGACGAAAGACATTTCCTTGAGTGACCATGAAGATGACTAAAATTACCTAACAATAAATGAATAAAAGTTACAGTTGTTACTCTCAATGGTAGAGCCATATTTAGCGAAAAAAGTACTAACATGCGAGCATGTATTACTGTTGAGGAAAAACTTGTTTTGACCCTTCGACACCTAGCTACTGGACGATGCTTTGAAGATCTGAAGATTTCAGAGGTTATGTCACTTGCAACGATTGGTAAAGCTATCTTGGAGACAGCTGTTTTAATGGTTTGATAATAATATTGATGTAGGCCTACGCCCTTCTCCTTCAATATTATGTCAATATCCTCAGTGAACTTCGGGTACTGATGGCTGGATTTGAAGATTTCTAGATTTTCATCAATATTGGTCGTCAAACCATCAATCTCCAGTTGGTACTCTCGATAATATTGTCAAAGATATTAAACGTGCAAGGTGCCTATTTGAACAGTTTTTAGGTAAGAAACAACCTAAACATGACAAGATCGTACATAAATTAGAAGGTTTCCTTGTGAACTGCATTGTTATAATAGGCCTACCTAACAAACTTTTACGTTTGCACACGTCTTTTACGTCAAATGATGCAATCATACCATATTATTAATACTTTCAAAACATAAAGCGTCAGCAGTAGAAATAAACTAACAAGCAAACTAAACTAAACTATTTTTGCTTGTTAAAAACATATTATTGAATATTTGGACGAACACCATTAAACAACAAAGGCTGCTCTTGCTGAGAGTATGCTAATGACGCTTTTCTCCAGGAACTGGAAATTTTTCCTAAGAGTAACTATTTACACGATCTACCTGTGTGATAATACGTGGTGTTATACAGAGTACAATATTGAACACAACATTCTTCTAATCCCTCAATGTGTATTCTAATTGTATAATCTCGACAAATAACGTTGTAACAGTCCCAACCTCAGTTGAACCTACTAATGAACAACTTTCTCTCAGTCAATTAATGGTTAGGGCGAGTGGCGAGTGAGATGAGAGGAGATGTATGTCAGTGGCGTAACTGTCTGCGGTAGCAACCAGTTACTATCTAGGTACCAGGCACCAGTACTGAGCAACAACTGGTAAAAGCCTAACAGGTGATTTGCAACAACAGTACTTAGAGTGTGACTACGGACGATTGATTAGCCAGCACCCAGTTACCATCTTGGTACCACCGCTGACTACTGAGCAACAAGTGGTGTACGTGTGATTTTGCAGCTACATAGTGTGTGACGACAAGAGGAAAGATTGATCAGCCTCTGAAAATCTCCAGCTAACATATCATCAGAAGAATGTCTGCAGCTGGAGGTTGACTGCGTGCTTTGACACAAACTGAATAACCTGAAAAACTCCAT